CTATTGTGCTTTGATAACACGTAGAAAATACTATTTTGGAATTCATTATTATGGTTAGAATTGCATGACTTTCACATTCTTAGCAACATAATCACTTGCATTTGCTTGATAATCACTCAATGTGCGTTTATTAGCTCTAAGACTGTTTTTACCAATTTTGATACGCTTTTTGTAAAGTTTCATGTGTTTTCAGGATAAAGCATTTTAGAGGACCACCTTGTTGTTTAATCACTCAGAATATTAAAAAAACCCTACCTTTTTATAAGCTCAACATGCCTTAAATAAGGTTGGGGTCACGACGAGAAGGTGCTTGAGTCATCCCAGTAGGTGGGCACTATGTATGTGAATGAGGTACAAAGAAGGAAACAAATTGGTTGCAATAGAAGCATGCATTTAGTGAATTGGTGGATTATCGCCCCGTAAATCTGTCAATTCAATTTACAACTCATGATTTCTTTTATGGGTAATCAAATTTTACTAAACTTGGGTGGAGAACTCAATTCAAGAACCTGGCAAAATGAAGTATACTAGTATTGAAGATTATCTTCGAACTGAGAAAATACCCTACACTACTGTTGTATCATTTTCAAACTTCATTGGAACATAATATATGCATACATACAATTGAAAAACTAATGACTACGAGTAGAGGTGGCAAACCTAATCCAGTCCAGTCCAATCCATTTAAATTGGATCCAAGTCCATTTAAATTGATCCAAGTCCATTTAGTCCATGGATTGATGGATTGGATTCATGGATCCATTAGCAATCCACCAATCCAATTACCCTCTGAACGGAGATAGAGTCGGAAACTCTCCCAAAACCCACCGCAACCTCGTCTGCTGCAAACAACCTCGTCTCCTGCAAGGGTTCTTTCGGCGGCGTCTTCGCCGCCTCCCTCTCCCTCTCTCCATTTATCGTCCAGCTCCGGTCAATTACTCCATTCCCCCAAACGATTGAAGAAACTTTGTTCGTCGCTACTCAGCTCCGACGTCTCAAGGTTCAACATGTAGTTTTTTAATTGAATCTCTTCACCATTCTTCTCCTTCTTCCCCCAGTCATCTTCGTCAAACCCTCTTTCTCTCTTCTGTTCGAACGGATTGTGAGGGGTTTTGACTTTAGGGTCTTGGAGATTTCTCTGGAGGTGGGACGGATTGTGATTTGTGAGGGGTTTAGACTTAGAAACTGCCGCCGGCACCGGCGCTTCCTGCTGCTCCACCGCGTCCGAACGCCGCCGCTGGCGATCAAGATCAACTATCGTCATCTTGGTCTCATGCTCAGGTAATGCATGGAAAGGGTAGGAGGAGCAGTAGTCGAGATGATGAGGACAATATCGATGAAAGGGCTTCAAGTTTCATAAGAAAGATCCAAGAGAAGAACCAGGCAGATTCTTGGAGCGATGATCCGTCTAAGAGGTTTAGGATCTTACCAAAATAATTAGTTTTAGGATGATTATGGTATTCGTTGCAAACTGCAATAAGATTGTAACAAATTAGATCTGTTCTCAACTTCTGCAACTGAAGTCTGTGAAATAGCTAAGCCCAATTTTCTTTCCTTTGCTATGTTTTTGGATTATTCACCTTATCTATTCGCATGAATGCTTAATATATCTAATTCACTAATTGTATCCTGATTATAAGAAAATATTGCAAATGAGACTTGATTTTGCTGTAGCAACACTGATTACTCCTTTCCCTCTGTTTGATATGGCTATTTGACCATATAATGCATCAACAGAGTTGATCCTCTATTGGGTATCAAAGTGCTTAGTGGGTTGGAAGTTGGAACTGTTTCATTCTCCATTGCCATAGCATGCTCTGTTCTATTGGGTCTCTTTGGCTGTATGTCTATATGTATGAGACCAATACCATAATCTCAAAGTGATGACAATGCTTTGTTCTATTGGGATCTTTGATTCTATTTCAGGATGACAAGTCAACAAATAAATGTTATAGGTAACGTTGATGGTGGTAGTTCAGAAGATGTGGATAATTTAACAACTGTGTCAACTTCTACGGGTCGAACAAGTGGGCAAAAAAAGCGGCAAAGAACTTCTAAGGCATGGGAGACATATAATTATATCCCTGGGAACCAATTTGCAGACAACAACTCAAGAGCTCAATGCAAAAACTGTCACATGCTTTATGTGGCAAATAAAGGTATTTCTAATCTCATTCGTCATAGCCATAATTATATTGGACATGCAACTGAAGTGCCGGTGTTGGGTGTTGGAAACTCGAAAGCAATAGATCAAAATAAATTTAAGGAGCTAATGGCTATGGATATCATAAAACATGGGTATGAATTTGCTATAGTTGAGCATGGTGGACTTCAGAATGTGATGGCCTACTTGAATGATAATTTTAAGTCATTTACTAGGAACACTGCTAAGTCTCATTGTTTGAAGATCTATAAGAGGGAAAAAGAAAAGTTGAAGAATTTGCTATAGTCCGATATGGGTTGTTAAATTTTGCTGCTACGTTGATTGATGGATGCATATAGAGTCTTGTCGCCCTCTTTCATTCTGGAATTTGATCTATGAACGTAGGGGTAGGACCCTGAAAACCATTGATGGAATTGTGGATTGTTTTATCTGATCTTATATCTATATGGTTGTTGATAGCTGCTTGGTTTCATCCTTTATCATGTTAATATTCTTTCATGACAGAAGGTGGTGGTCAGCTTCTTCCCTCTGCTGGTTCTGTTGCTGCTAAGTTCCATTAGATGTATAATAGATCATTCTTGATTCTTGAATCCACATTCATCATTTAGCAGCAGGGAAGCAGCCTCTCTTGCTGCAGAACAAGGGAAAAAATGCACTAAGTTCTTCGAATCGTCAGTACATGACTATGTAAACCACTTTCTTCGTAGACACTGAACTGGGGAATCAATCAATGACTGTACAGAAGGGAAGCCCTTGAAATGTTTGCTGGTTTCTTGGCCCCAAATCCTGCTCCAATTAAACCAGACATGGAACGCCTTTACTCTTTCGCCCTTTACTAATCCCCTCCCTTACCGTGAAACAACATTCCTCCACTAAATCCAAAAAAGAGCGAACCAAGATTGCGCTAAGCAACAATGTGATCGGCGCTAAGCGAACCAAGATGCTGTTGTCCATTCCCATCATCGGTGCCGGGATCTGGCTGGCGATGGAGTCGGACAACTCGTGCATCAAGCTCCTCTAGTGGCCGCTCATCATTTTGGGATACTCGTCCTTGTCGTGGCCCTCGCCGGCTTCGTGGGCGCGTTCTGGAGGATCCCGGCGCTGCTGATCTTCTACCTCATCGCTCTGTTGTTGATTTGGGTGGTGGGCTGCTGTTGTCGCCAGCCTTGCTCTGCTGTTGTCTCCGAATCCTACCAGTCCAAAAGTAGACAAAAATTCAATATTCAATCCATGAATCCAATCCACGAATCCACGGATCCATTTCAATCCAATCCATGGATCCACTTGAATCCAATCCACGAATCCGATCCAATTGACACCTCTAACTACGAGTCTCTTTATCCTTCCCACACAAGACAGAACTATCAGCAGTACTTTGTTCTTTAATAACATGCCAGCTTATAGTACTATGCCTAGGGATCAATTCTTTAAATAAGGTGTATATGGATGATGGATCTAATGAAGTTGGATTAATTTAATTGGATTTAAATAATTATATTGAATTCATGGGATGAATGTTATTTGCCAATAGGATATACCTCTTGTAAATAGATAGTCTAGAATAGAAATTCCAAATGATTCATATTTCCTATGGTCCTGTTCATTTACATATCCCTTTTCTGTTTCTAGTTTTCATTTAAAAAAACTGACAAAAAAAAAAAATGAGAAAATCCGTTTATTTTTCATTGTACTTTTAGTTTGTTTATAACTTCGAAAGTATAAACTTACAACTTCATGTTGTTTCCACCACATTTTCATATATTTTTTCGCAAAATTTTTAACGAGGCACTTAAATGGATACGATGAAATATTCGATTGAATTATATCAAACAATTTGTTGTTGTCAAATAATTTGTTATACTTTGAAGTCACAAGAAATGTAAGCATTTATATAGTTTCTTCTCTCATGAAATAAAACTCTATATTTTCTTCTTTTCATATGTGATAATACATTTATTTTATCATTTTTCTATTAGGTGTATCATTCAGAATTTTATTTACTTTAATTTCAAACAATCTATCTTTATTATGCCGTCACAAGCACAACAAGAAAAGGAAAATGCAAGTGAACAAGTTTGGTAAGGGAGTGGACAAGTGGTGGATGTTTTTAGGGGCTTGGTTATGAACAGTGGTGGGCCAGCCATGAAACCCGAGCCCGTCATCATGATTCATGATATTAATTTACCCCCACAAAACAAAATCATACTCTGTTCGTCTTTTCGTGCTTGGAAGTTGGACCTTCAAATCACGCCAATGCCATCCAATTGGGTCGCTGAGTGAGTAGGGGTAGGACTGCATTTCTGGCACCACGTCACACTTCACACTGCAGCCTCCTCAGCTTGCTTGCTCTCAGTCTCAGAGTCATAATCAGAAGGTTGATCCGAAAGGAAATTTCTGGTCTGGACAGCCTCTCGTCACTTTTCAAATCAACTTCCCCATGCCCTACAAGTTATTTGTTTCTCAGTCGTTGAAGCTTTGCCCAATTTGCCAGCCCATCCTCCGTGCCGTGTGTGTTGATGGAAAACCCACTCAGGTTTGCTTAGCGTTTGTTTCAGAAACGCGCAGAAAGAAAAGAGCAGCAGCAGCACATGCAGCAAAGCTCTCATTTTCCGTTTTCGGAAAGATATGCTTTGCCTTTGGTTTTTGTTTGGTAGTAGGCAGTTTACCAGGTTGGTGAAAGGAAGAAAGAAAGAAATACTCTCAATTTCTTCATTTTCAGGCCGGAACGAAAAAATAGCGCCAGATGGCACCAGACGGAATTGACAAGTACGCCCTCCAACGAGCTGGGGTAAAGGATTCTGTTTGATCTGGTAAAATCGTCATTTCCTGCATTCCTCTCTCTTCTCTAAACGCACCCTGCTCTGTTCTTACTTCTTAGACACAGAGCAGAATTATGCAGGAGGCAGGATCGTACCATTCCCTTCTCATCCCTTTCCGATGACGACCCAGTTTTGAATCCATTTCCCCCATCCATTTCCATCTTCTTCCCTCCTTCCAGCTTTCACAAATCAAACGCAATCAGGTACCAGTTTTCCAGCCTCGGCCTAGCCCTTCTTCTTCCTCCATCCATGGCGTCACTTAGCTGGTCGTTGTTGACCGCCCGTTAAGATCGCTGCATTTTCTGTTGTACCCACAAGCATTTTCTGTCCGTCCATAATGTTCAAATTGTTTTTATGTATTTTGTTGCAGCTGATGGTTTTGGTTCATTTCATTGCTTCTGCTTTCTATGGTGGAAAAACTAAAGAATGCTGAAATTTCCTTATCACTTGGAGCTTACCACATCTCTTGATGTGACTAGGTGAAGAAAAGGAGATGGGTGGCCATTCCCATATGAATTGCTGGGAAGATGCGTGCTACAGAGAAGCGAAGAATCAGAAACTGGAAATCGAAGACCCAGATGCTGGTTGCCCTGGATCAGATGATGGATGGAACTCTGCAGAAAAACCCAACTCCGACCTTGTCCTGGATCCAACTGACCAAGGGGAGAAGATCGTCTTTCCATGGATGGGGCTGGTTGCAAACATAAAAACTGTGGTTAAAAATGGAAAACCGGTGGGTGAAAGTGGCTCAAAACTCAGGGACGAGTTCATACGAAAAGGGTACAATCCAATGAGGGTGCATGCTTTATGGGACTGGAAAGGTCACTCAGGGTTCGCCATTGTTGAGTTCAAGAAGAGCTGGGAAGGATACAGGGACGCCCTCAAGTTTGACAAGGATTTTGCGCTCATGGGATGTGGGAAGGCTGATTATTTCAGCTCTTCAGTGAAGCATGAAGAGAGACTCTTTGGCTGGATTGCTCGAGATGATGAGTATCAATCCACTGGTGCTATTGGGGCCTACCTCAGAAAGAAAACGGACTTAAAGAGCCTCTCAGACATTGTAGCAGATGGTGAAAGGAAGGATTCAAAACTTGTGTCCTCCCTACAAGACGAGCTGACCGTTAAGCATGGGCACCTTATGGAGATGGAGACCAAGTATAAAGAAGCTTCGGTGTCGATCATTGAGTTGGTTTCTCAAAAGGATGCTATGATTGTTTCATACAATGAAGGTCTGATCCATTCTTACGAAGTTCTGTCTCCTTTCTTTTATGCAATTGCTTAGTTGCTTTCTTTTGGGGGGGTGTTGTTGAAACAGAGATCAGGAAGATGCAGCAAATCGTGCATAATGATTTCAACAAGATACTTGTGGAGCACCAGAGAGCTAAGCACGAATTGGAAGCTCGAAGAAGAGAATTGGAGCAGAGTGAGAAGCAGTTGCGAGAGAGGGAGGCTCATAATGAAAATGAGATAAAGAAACTCCACCAACAGAAAGAAATGGTACATATAATTCAAGGTCAAATGTTATTATGTGATGCATCCCTATATTACAAATTCTCACCTTGTTGCTTTCAGAACAAGAGAGCAATCTTGGAGCAGAGGAATGCAGATGAACAATTGTTCAACTTGGCACAAGAACATCAGGTTCGTGGGGTTTCCCCCATTTATTTGCAACAGAAAGCACAATTATCTCTTATATTAATGGATGAGCACTAATGACAGAGGGCCAAGGAGGCTTTGCACAAGAAAGTTATCGAGTTGCAAACCCAACTTGATGCTAAACAAGCGCTGGAGCTAGAGATAGAACAGAGGAAAGGTGCATTACAGGTTCTGGAATACTTGGAAGAAGGTGAAAGCCCTGAAATCCGTGAGATGAAGGAAAAGCTGGAGGAGAAGGAGGACGAGCTGGAATACTTGTTTGCCCTGAATCAAACTCTTATGACCAAGAACGAAAAGGTTGAGCAAGAACTTGGGGCAGGTCGCAAGGAGTTGATCAACGTGAGTATTTTATCTCGTGTGATGTTATGACTGGAACTTTAGCAATTTAGTACCAACAAGAAGCTAACCATTACTGTAAACACCCTGCTGCTGTGCTATCATATAATGTAGTTACATGGGTCACGGCATTAACTGTAGTAATCATACACGTATTATGATGGCAGGGGTTTCAGGGCATGGTAGCTGCTGGAAGAGCGACCATTGGTCTCAGGAAAGCTCTGAGAGGGAAGAGCAAGTTGTCAACGGAAGAAGCAGAGCTCTGGCACTTGAAGGAGGACAGAGAGGCAACAGTGGTGGAGGGAGTTGAGTACATCTTGAGAATCTGGAAGCGGCTTAAATAGGAAAGGAAGATCTGGCAGAGCATATAGGAACTATAGAAAGTAATGGCTTCGAGGAATCAATACAGGTGGTAAGTAACTAGTTAGACGTAATCCATTTTGAATCAATACAGGTGGAATATCCATATACAGGATATAGGAACTACAGAAAGTAATGGGTTCTAGGATCCTTGGCTTGCTCGAGCGTTTTTGGGTTTCAGACTTGAGAGAAGCAAACTCTGCTGGTAGTGTGGCTACCATTTAGTATTTACTATTTACTTAAACATTGAGCAGAATTGAGTTACAGTGTTGGACTGTATTTTGGACTAAGATATTTGTTGATGAATCGTGTTTCTAGTTTTATCTCTCGGGGCTCCCTGATTAATGATTATTTTGCTTCTCTATATAAGTATTTCAAGTTTTAGTTTGATTGAGGAAGATTTTGATAGTCAGAAGACTGTCCATTTGCTATGGACTTTTAGTACAAGTGTCATCTTTTCTAAAAAAATCTACTTGATAGTTGGATGTTTTTTTTTACTAGTTAGTGTTTAATTGATAATCGATAATTTTTTAGTGATTCGGTTTTGATTAGTTGTATTTGTTTTTTTTAAGAATGTATTTTACTTAATAGATAGCTTATTAGTTGGCAGGTGGTCGCCTTGATCTCTGTTCGTTTTTTATAATAAAACGGAAATTGATTCAACGGAAAAAATTAAATTAGCGATAACTACTTATTAGTATAACCACAAAATTTTAGGCTTTGGCTAAGGGAAAAAGTTCCAATATTCAAAATTAACCAAAGTCTCATGTGAAAAATGTAGTTAAGTTGTTTGAATTATATATCTGATTATATGTCAACTTATAAACTAATTAGTTTACATTTCCCTTGATAGTGAATGGTGTACATCATATATAACTGGAACTCTAAATTTGAAGAATTGATTAGAATACCTAGGGTTAAATGATCTCTTTCGATGTCACATAATTCAAATCTATAAATTAAGACATGGAACCCTAAAAAAATTATATTAAAACATGTCGTGCTCAGATTGCATGTTGCACTCTAAACTTGTTCAACTAAATTCTTTCATCTTGATTGCAATGCATTGCTTTGCTGCACTCTAAGGTGGTTGAACTGAATTCTTTCATCTAGTTTGAGATGTGCACTAAAAAGAACAAGTGTTGTTTAGATCTTGTTCATCAAGAGAGAATTATTTTTTAGATTTTTGAAGATGATCCATTTGTGAATATGGATTATAATGAGATACAAATAGCTTATTTATTATGAAGTTGAACTATCATCAACCGCATGCTAAACATTAGTTTCTTTTTTTTTATACATTAAATCACTTGTTTCATCGAGAACAATAAGAGATACAAAATCGACAAATTGAAAACAAGCAAAACCAAAAGTCAAAACATAACAAGAACAACAAGAGAGAAAAATCGATTTTTCTAGCAACCCAATTACTTGAATGACCAATAAACTTCATTCGAAGAAAAAAAGAAAGGAAATGCGGTCATTTACGAAAAGATATGGCCCAAATCAAGTTTGTCAATCAACGGTTGCCCATCTCGAGAATTCCATCAAAAGCCGCACGTAGGAATATAATCGGTTCACGTCAAAACACAAGGTATCACTTAATAACTCGAAAGAAAACTTATACAAACCACAAATTTTCCTTATTTGATTGTGCTACTTTTTCTAAATAACTTCAACTAAATAGATGTAACTCTCTACTAAAGAAATGAACTTGATATGATAAAGCAAGGGTACATACACCAACTTAATTTTTTTTGGAAGAACAAAAACCACTGAGACTTTAGTTGAAGAACATTTATGATCTTCCATGTGATCTTTTCCATAAATGTCAAATCCAGTTGGGGTACCCTTCTATCATATCTTTATTTATGTAACCTTCTCTTGAACATTCCCTAAAATGGTATACCACCGTTCTTCTACACTACTACAGAGTACACAGTCTTGCCCTTGGACCCCTAGTCCATTGAAGTTTTGGCCTTTTCCACAGACCTGACGCCTGAAGGCACGTCTCTCTGCAAATAGGGAAAGGCCGTTGTGCAGAGTGCTTCTTTTCCCACCATATTTTGCTTCTCACTGTCCTGATTTTCTTCTCAAGTCCGACCTAAAGCAAGAACGAGCTCCTGCCTCTCTCTCTCGCGGGTCCAAAGAAACCCTTCGAAGAAGAGGAGGGGAAAGGTCCTGTTGATCACTGCAGAGAGGTTTTTGAAATTCAGAACCGCATTCCTGGTAAGTCCGCTTCCGCCATTCTCTCTCTTCTTCTCGAAGATCATGCAATGACTCCTGCCCATTTCTCTGCTTCGATCTTCTGCCTGATTCTGGGATACCTGTTCGCAGATTTTCAAGGCCTGCTGGAGGTCAAAGCTTGCCGAGTTTAATTTGTGTTCAGAGTCGTATTGTTCCGGGAAATGCACTGCAGATTGAGGTATAGCATTTTCAACTTCTTTCTGGCGTTACCCTAATTTTTTGCATTAAGTTAGAGGTATCATCCCCTCGATGTGTATCTCCGACTTGCTAGTTCAACTTTGGTGTATGTGACTTCCACATGTCCTGCAAATCTGGACTTTCTCCCTTGAAAAAAATAGAAACCCTCTTAGTCTTGCTCATGTTTCTGCATTGCTGAGGCTGAATTTTGTTTCTTGTCCAGAGGAAGGAATGATCACATGCCTCAACAATTCGAGTTATTCGTGTGAATTAGTTATTAACATGGTGTCCGTCGCCACCTTAGCTGTAGATTAAGCACAGGGTACAGTGGATTTGATCACAAACTTTAGGCACTTGACTTGGCTTTTGTTTAAGAAAGCATGTAAAGGAATTATGTAGAATAGGTTTTGGACCTTACTGTACAACTACTCACGTTATTGGGATGACTTGTCACACGATTGTCATTGAGAATAGCATTAACTTGTTTGTGTAATCCCTTTTCCATGCAGGATTTCAACAGTGCCGATCTTCTTGTATTGTCAACCTTTTCCTGTTTGAAGAAAACGATCTCCTCCAATTTGTCTCTTTCAGCCATCTGAGCTACGGTATGTGCACCAGAATTCTTAACCTCTTCTCATTCTTTATAATCCATCAATGAAGAGGAAAATCATAGTGACTTCTGTTCTGTTAGTGTACGACTCCAACTCTAGAGCAGTACTATTCAGTCTGTCTTGGATGTCTGCTGTATGTAGATGCAAGTTACAGAATGTCTTTTGTGGTTAAATCGATTATCCAAAAGGGTTGTAGCCCCTTTGCTACCATGTAAACATAAGCTTAGAGTTAGGACTTAAATCACCGTATCATGCCACGACCAATGTGTTGGCGCTTTATGGCATATGAATGAAGAGTAGAAGTCATTCTTAATAAGAAAAAGTGACTGCCTTAGAAATATAGTTTACATTCTGAAGAAGTAAACAACGAAAGGCTAGCTAATTATCATATAATTTCGAAATCAGCGTCTGTCCGTTTGACTTGCTGCCATATCATTGGTTCTTTTAGTTGTTTAAACTGTCTCTACTCTGTAATATTATAGTGGTTCGTACTCTTTTTCTATCATATTCTTCAACTTCTTTGGACTTCCAACTATTATTTTTTAACTGCTTAAACTACTAATTTATTTTAATAATCTCCTTTCTCCTTTCCCCATGGTTTCACCTCTGCTCATCAACGCTGTTGCTATCCTTACTCATGTGGCAATATGTTTTAGGGAGAAACTTAACATTATGGTTTCTTTATTCACTCGCGTGCAATAAATTTCTCTGCACATTCTATGTACAATACCTGGTTTAGCATGTCTTAAACTCCCAGCCGTAACCATTTCCATAGTTATAGGTCGATCGCAGAGGAGAAAAGAAACAGAATCATGCTTTCATATGGTTGAAACTCATCTGTTCACTGATCTCTATGCATTGAACAGTGCTCAGATAAAAGTATTACCTACTCATTGCACTACATACTGCAGATTAAATGTAAATTGCGTGAGTTGAATGCTTATGTGCCCTATTTCTACAGAGGCAGAGGATGCTAACTTTTTGGCTAATTGTTGTGCATCTTATTGGTTCTTGTGATTTAAATTCTTGAAATGACATTGTTTTCTGTTGCACACAGGTCAGGAATGTCGCACCACATAGGAAAAGGAAAAGACAGTTGTGATTCTGAGTTGAAAGAGTTGGAGGATAAGTACTATAGAAGACTGAAACGTGGAGAATATAAAACTAAAAGATCCGATTCAAATTATAGGTGTCCTTTCTGTTCCGGGAGTCGAGATTATGGTTTTAGGGAGCTTCTCAGACATGCTGATCGTGTTGGCAGAGAATCTCAGAGCAGGGATCTAAGGGAGAAAGCTCAACATCTTGCTTTGTCGAACTATGTGGATAAGTACCTTAGGCCAAAGCGTGTTTCACATTCTGCTAGCAAACATGACTCCCACCGTCCATTGATGAGTGATGATCAGGGTAGAGAAAGGACTCCACATCCTGCTTTACCAAACTCCGGGGATAAGTACCTTTTGCCAAAGCATGTTTCAGATTCTTCAAGCAAACCTGACTCCCACCCTCCATTGAGTGATGATCAGGGTAGAGAGGAAGTTCGACATCTTACTTCTCCAAATGATGAGGATAAAGCTGCTAAGCGAAAGCATGTTTCGGATTCTGCAAGCAAATGTGAATCCGGACCTGCATTCTGTGATCATCAGGATAGAGAGAGACTTCATCCTCCTGGTTCACCGAACTTTGTGGATAAGTACGCTAGGCCTAAGCATGTTTCAGATTCTTCAAGCAAACCTGACAACCACCCTCCATCGAGTGATGATCAGGGTAGAGAGAAAGTTCAACATCTTGCTCCGGCAAACTATGGGGATAAAACCTCTAAGCCAAATCATGTTTCAGATTCTGCAGGTAAAGCTGACTTCCGCCCTCCATTGAAGGATGATCAGGGTAGATTTGTTTGGCCATGCATGGGCATTGTCGCAAACATCCCAACTGAGGTAAAAGATGGGCGGCGAGTTGGAGAAAGTGGCTCGAAACTCAGGGATGAATTGACTACAAAAGGGTACAATCCTATGAGGGTGCATCCGCTATGGAACCGTATGGGCCATTCAGGGTTTGCCATTGTCGAGTTCAGCAAAAATTGGGATGGCTACAAGAATGCTCTCATGTTTGAGAAACATTTTGAGCTCGAAAGACGTGGATGGGCAGATTATCATGGTCGATTTCGGAATAGACGAGGAAATGAACTGTATGGATGGTTTGCACGAGATCGTGACTATTACTCCAGGGAAATTTATGCTAATTATCTCAAAGACAAGGGAGATTTAAGAAGTGTCTCCGATGTTACAGCAGAAAATGACAGGAAGGATTCAAAACTTTTTTCTTCCCTGAAAAACACATTGGAGGTCAAGCACGAGAACCTAAAGAAGATGGAGGAGAAGTATGAAGATACAAAACTGTCTATTGAGGATGTACTGCGTCAGAAGGAGTCTATGACTTCGCTGTACAATGAAGGTATATTCCTGGTTTTCTTTTATCTATGCTAAATGATTATTTACCCTTCCCTCTCTGCTTGACTTCCTTTTCCTAACCTCATCTTTAACAGCGATATCCAAGATGCAGCAGGATGTGCGTAATGATTTCCAAAAGATTTTACTGGAGCGAGAGAGAACAAAGCATGATTTGGAAGCTCAAAGACGAGAACTGCACGAGCGGGAGAAGCATTTGCACGAGCGGGAGAAACATAATGAATATGAAATACAGAAACTGAAGCGGGAGAAAGAAATGGTATTCTACTGTCACCCTTTTGATGCTAGCCTTTACAGAGCCACCAATATTATGCGGCTTCTATACTTGCAAATTTACTTGCCCTCTCTTTTTCCTTCGTTCAAGAACGAGAAAGCAATCTTGGAGCAGAAGAAAGAAGAAGCTAAAGCGTTAAAATTGGCTCAGGAGCATCAGGTTCTATTTATTTTTATTCATTTCGTTTGAGCTGTACTTAAGGAATTGGCTACACGAACTTGTTCACGGATGCACAATCAACTAATGACAGAGAGAGAAAGAGAACCTTCACAAGAAAATTTTCGAGTTGGAAAGCCAACTGGACGCCACACAAGCAGTGGAGCTCGAGATAGAGCAGCTAAAGGGTGCATTGCTGGTTCTTGGACACATGGACGAAGACGATACCCCAGAAAGCCGCAAGAAGAAGGAAGAGATCAGAGAGAAGCTGGCTGAGAAGGAGGAAGAATTGGAAGACTTGGAGGATCTGAATCAAACTCTTATCATCAAGCACAAAAAAGTTGAACAAGAACTCGAGGAAGGCCGCAAGGAGTTGATCAATGTGAGTTTTCAATTCCCCTTTAAACCAACGTGAAGATAAAATAAAGTTGGGTGTTAGTGCACTCCTGCAGATTAGTCAGTATATTGATTGTACAACATTTGGTTGGTTGACAGGGGTTTTTGAGTTCCGGAACAAGTGGAAGAGCGAATATTGGCGCAAAGAGAAGTGGAGGTGCAAAGGCGAGTAGCAAGGGCAAGCGTGCCCAGTTGAATGAACCAGCAGAGCTTTGGCATTTCAAGGAGGATAGAGAGGCTGCGTTTACTGAGGGGATTGATTACATAATGAAAAGTTGGAAGCGGTTAAAATCGGCGAAGAGTAGTAATGCGTTTGTCTTTGGGTGAGATAGTTCAGTGTTGGGGAAGGCCATGTCAGGTTCAAATTACATTTTGATTCAAGCGGGTATGACGAAGAAACCTAGTAGAGAAGGGTTCTAATTACATTTTCTCCTTGTCAAACAAGATCAGAACCACTATTTTGTAACCTCTATAAACAGAGGACTATAGATATACCTAAAACGATCTTTTTTTGAGAATTATTGACATTGAGAACTTTTGCTTGAAATTTGTAGCGAAATCGATTATCGTTTGAAGAGGTTATTGACATTATCTAATAGCTTATCGTCCATAGTTGTGAGTCTTTAACAACATCTTAGGTTTGCAATGATTGCTATGTTGAGTTAGTTTCTTCGTTTGTGCTTGTTTAGGTTAATTTTCGCTTTGTTGCGTACTTTGATTACAGTATAATTTGAAGAGCAGGAGGAGTGTTGACCTATATCACCGCATCGAAATCAATGACTAGGGAAAGTTTTGTTTTTGCATATCAAGTCGGAAACTTTATGGGTTGATCTCACTCATTCCAAGTTATCCAAACTGGGCAACCTCACCGTGCAATGCAACAACAATCCATCAGAATCAGGGGGGGAAAAACGACCCAAATTGCAGAGCCCCACAACAACTTGAGATGGACGACATCAAGTCGTTAAAGAAGAGCACATGGACCATTTCACATCAATACCCCACTCCCCATGTGCAAGCTTTTGCCTTTCCCATATGCATTTTGGGGTCTGATGTGACGCGACCCATTTGGATGGACGAACATGGGGTATTAACTCACACACCAATGCCATTGTCTTCTTCTTCTTCTTCTTCTTCCTCCTCTTCACAAAAAATGGAACTAACGTTGCCTACTTTTACACACAGGATGTTGGATATCTTCTTCTCTCTCTTGACGGTTTCACTCACCACGATCCTTTCGCCATCCGAGTAACGAACTCTCCGCGTTTCGGTTTGTCTGGTTGCAACTATTTCCGGCTTCTGCCCGTTGTGAAAACGTCTATAATGTGCATATGGACAAGCTGCCTTTCTTCTTATCTTTATAGAACCCTAGCCATTAAGATGGACTACGCTTAATCATTCAATACTATCTCTTCCTTTCCCTTTCCCTTTCCCTTTTCTAGGCGTGACGAAACAACGGAGGGAAATCCGCCTACAGTGAGCCCAGGCAATGCAGGTCCGTCCATGTTCTCAATTAGCTGCCATCTTATCTTTTTGGCCTCCCCTTTTGCTTACCCCAATTGCGTAGCCACACTACTGCACTGCACACCCACACATTTCACACCAACTAAAGCGTCCCGCGGCTGGCTAACCTACTCAAAAGGAAAATTCAGTGTTTCATTTTTCAAAATAGAAAGACGGACGAAAATATTGTGGTTTGTTCTATCCGTGCTCGACTCCATCTGACACGCAACCAGGAATGGCAATGGGCCGGGTTTACCTAAACCCAAACCTAACTCGGTGAATAGTTAACGGGTTTAAACCCAAACCCGGCCCAAAACCCGTCAACACGAATTTTATCCACGTTGACCGGGTTGGGTCGGGTGGGTACCCGTGGGTTCGAGTTTTGTTGCTATCCCTACACGCAACATCAAAAATCCCTTCCCATGTGTTGTTTCAATTTTCGAAGAAGTTGTTTGTATCCAAAATTTTAGTTTAAATTGATGGTTTAATGATAAATTCTTTATTCGGCCGAAACGTCCGCTTACATGAGAACGATCTTTCTGTTCGTTTATATTTGACAAAAATTATAAAATATATTTCTTTCTCCAATAAAACCGACTGAAATACAACATCTTTTCACATTGGGGACCACCACATAGCTTAGTGAACGAAGTCAGAACTCGAAGAAAATGTGACTTGAAATAACAAATTGAATAGCTTTAAATACTGAGAAATCGATCTCGAGGAGGAGCATACGACTTCTATAACCTACTATTCTAGTACTTACTATGTTTGGACTACACTAGCCAGCTTATAATATTGTTGAAAATTTTGTAAATATAATTTAGGGCAATGTCTATTTTTTACCAAAACCTTTTTCAGATTCTTTTATTTTAACCAAACCTATTGAATTCCTAAAAATTATCCAAACGTTAACTCTCCGTCAACTTTTCTGTTAGTAATGCTGACTAAGTATGACCATAATGAGTTGACTTCCTACGTGGCGGTCAGAATACCATCATTTACTATTGTTAATAAAAAGATTATCAAAAAACAAAACAAAATCTCACCTCTCACGTGGACGAAATAAGTAACGGTAACAGAATGAATGCCCAGACTTTGATAAATTATAATACGTTTGGATAATAAATAGAATTTCTATAGGTTTGGTTAAAATAAAAGAATCTGAAAAAGGTTTGGGTAAAAAATAGACATTGCCCTATAATTTATTAGCAAACCTTTAAAATAAAACATTATGATCGTATAAATAGGTAATTGACGATAAGGCGTAGTAGCAATTTGGTATTAATCCCGCACAATCCATAACGTTTTCAAGAAGGTAACAAATGACAACCTTAAATAGGATATCAAATGCACACTTCATAATATTACTGCCTCAACATAACCCTTTGGGAAATGGTACAATAATATCCCTTTACCATACACTCTAAGGCACCACTTTCAGTTACATAAATAAAACTATGACATACATATAAAGAACTGCGGGCTGACGTCGTTTTGTGCAGCCACTTCAGCAACCTCCCACCGTTTTAACCCCACTAGAAACATACACCACTGCCAACCCATTACTACGTACTCCCCAACTAAAAATCGGGTCAACGGAAAATAAAGCTGACCAGACCAACACAGCCCTCCTGGGCCCAGGCCCACATTCACACTCTCTTTCTCTCGCCCAATCCCAAAAACGAACCTTTCACCAACAAGAAAAAGAAAGAAAAAAAAAAAAAAAAGTAAAATCGTAAAACGTACACTCCCACCGGAAACTTGAAACCAATTTTCTTGAGCTTCCTTCTACTGCTGCTGTAGTTAATTCTAGAATCCAATCCCACGATGAATTGATGATCCTGCTCACCGGACCTCAGACCCTGAAATTCTTGCCGGTGAACGTCTGACCGAACTGCCAGTTGGAAGGAGCGATGTTCCAGGAAGTGGAGGTCCGTCGGTCGCTTCCGGTCACCCTGAACGACAGAGGCTGACCGACGAGGACGGCGTTCGACTGCCAGTTCTGACCCCAGTTCCGGCTCATGCTCATCCACCCGGTCTTGGTCCCTTTCACGCTCAACTTCACAATGTCGCCGGCGCCGGCCACGTTGGAGACCAGTACCAGGTTGAAGTAGCGGAACCCGTTGATGGTGAACCGGATCCCTCCCTTCTTCCGGCATGGCACCCTGCAGAAATTAATGGCAAGAGTACAGGGTCATTTCGGTCTTTGAGACGAAAAAAGCCATCACAAAAAACGCGGCTGCCTGATTTTACGCGTGGGAACGCGACAACCGATAGCAACAGAAAACGGAAACCTTTTCACTTTTTCTTCTCGGGTTAGTGAAAAGAATTAATAGCTAGACGCCGTCAACTACACGCCGTTTAAACGGCAGGGGCATTTAAGACATTATGATCTACGAAGGGTAAAGGAAGAAGTGGGGCAGTGACTAACCGACGGTAAGTGACGGGGACGATTCCGGCTCTGTACTCGGCGATTTTCAAGAACATGGGCATGGCGAGGTCGAAATGTGGTCGGGGAGGGTTGCACCATCCGCCATTGTCGCTGGGCTGGGCGAAATTGGGCGGGCAGAAGTTGGTGGCGGTGATGAGAATGGAAGGGCTGCCGGAGTGGCACCACCTGGGGTCGTTGGCGCACTTGAGCTCGAAGCAGGCACCGCAGCTCAGCCCGTTGTTGAACAGCGCCGTGCTCAGAGCCGCCGTGTTCACCCCGTAACCTTGGCTGTACAGGTTCCCGTACCCACAAGCTCCTCCTGGAAAAAATCAGAAAAAGACAAAAACAGCAGAGTTCATCAAGAAACAGAGCTGCAACTCACATTATCCTCAGAAAAGGGGGGGGGGGGGGGGGGGGGGGGGGAATCAGTGGGAAGAAGTAATTACTAGTCTAGTCTAGTTTCGCATACCCATGGTTCCAGAAGCATCAGAGCCGCCGTAGAAGGTAGCATGAGCTGACTGCCACCCGCCGCCGGAGTAAACACCGGGGATTCTGGCCTCTGCCACCATCCACATTACCGGCAGCAAGAACAAGGACACAGCACACAACAATTTACCCATTATGAAATTCTTCACAGTTTTTCCTCTCTAGTAAAGAAGAAGGGGTTGGAAGGAAGTGAGTGATGAGGGAAAATGGAGGGATGGGAGCGGGAGTACTTAAAGAGGAGGGTACAGGGTACAAGCCCAGGCCAGGGGCAGTCCTCGGAATTTAATTTTTTCAAATCCAAATACGAACCCTTTTTCCATTGGTGAACAATCCCCGTAAACTACCCCGTACCCACTCGCTCTACGGATCCGCGTGAATGGTACGCCCGAATATTGTACGGTGAGGAGACGGGAAGGTGAGTAACGCGCATGTGGTGAGAGTGGAAGGGAGGTTTCTGTTGATAAGAATATATTAATTTTGATTTATTATCTGCCGGCATCCGGGGGCCCACCCGGGTTGGTTAATCTTCCACGTCCAGTTTCGTTTGTCGTCCCCGTTTGCGTCTATTACGGCACAGGAAATGAGACGAGATGAGATGAGATGCGATGAGAATTGAGATGAGGGCATTCCTTCCCTTCGCACATGATTTCCCATCCCCACCACACAAAAAGAAAAAAAAGGTAATTTAACCGGAAATTATAAAAAAAAAAAAAGGAATATTCATGGAGGGACATATATGCCCTACTTCTGGTTTGTTTGCGGTGGTGGTGTTGGTTGGTTTATTAGGGTTGGCTACTTGACTAGTGTTATCTCGCGCTAGAATCACGTGACGTCACCCAGCCCTTGACCACAATTTTGAGAGAGGATATGGCCGGCCAGATCTAGATCAAATTGGCATTCAAGATTGGAGAGAACCTGTGGGCGTTATCAGCGCCTGTGATTGGATTTGAATGGGAAAGGGGAGAAAAGGAGATATGCAAATGCAAGCATTCGGGAAGAATGTAATTCCCATAAGATTTTTAATGGGGAAGCAAAGGAAAAGAGACATGTCAAAGTCAAAGTATACCGCCCTGTAATACAGTCTCAAGTAGACAATACGGTTGGCCAATATGAGTTGCGAGTGACTTGTAGTCAATTTAGGGCTTGTTTCAACGATGGATTTGGTGAGAGATTTGGATTCATCATGGATTTTGTTCAAAATTCATTGTTTGTTTCATACATTTAGGGGCAACAAATCCGTGGATCCTACGAACTTTAAGGGTTCGTGGATCCCACAGACTTGAAACTTTCACTTATTTAGGTGTGAATTGATCATGGACTTTGAAGTCCATCATTTAAGATCAAACTTCCCCTTCTATTTCATTTCTCTTCTCGTATCAATGAGGGCAATGAAGGTAAATTTCACTTCATATAAACAAATCTAATTAAACCAATTACATCATGAAATCTATGAAACAAACAATGGTATTTTTCAACTACCGTCTGCCCGCCTGCGTTTAACGCGGTTCGCCTTGGATTGCTTTTGCCGATTCGTTGTACCGCTTGCATGTATTGCCGCGTGTCAGTTCTTGGGAGTTGGACTCTGACACGCGCAGCTCCCACGTCCAATCATCTGCCCGTTTTTTTTTTAATTCCCGAGACTAGGGTTTGTCTCGGTCACTCAACCGTCGCTCCACTGCCTTTCTCCTATTTCCTGCTCCTCTCCACTTCCTCCATTCTTCTTCTTCTTCTTCTTCACCATCCCTGCTCACTGCCTTTCTCCTGTTTCCAGCCAAGATTGCGTGTTGCTCTCGCTTCTCTCTTTCTTATTATTTGCGAAACAACTCCTCTCTGTCTCCGGCGCGAGCAGATTTCCTTGCTAAACTCCGACGAGCCCAGAAACGAGCAAAGAGAAGACGAAAGCACCAAATGACGATCGAGTCTCAGAGCACCATGCAATCTGATAGCCAGAACCAGAACCTTTCCAGCGACGTAGCCGCCGTCACGACCTCCAGTGGCGGCGCCGCCGCCACAGCCTCCGGCGAAGCCCGAACTTCCAGCGCTAGCGTCAACGTTCCTCGCTCCTCCTCTAAGTTTGGCGGAGGCTCAGGTGGACCGCCTTCCGGAAGCAAGCAGCCCATGACAGGTATTTAGCGTTTTTTTCTTGTTCTCTTTACGCGATTTTTGGCCAGACTTCCAGAATTAGATTTCGCTGTGCGTGGTTTTTGTAGCGAATACTTAGGTGGTCCTTACTGTGACCTTTTAGGAGTAGAACCTGATTTCGGGCTTGCCGCGGGCACGTCTGCTGGTCGGCGGGGAGCGTCTTCAACGGTTGGCGACAACCTTGGGGACTTCAGCTACTCGGAAGCTGAAAGTGAACCGCCAAATGCCACACCACTTGTCGCCCTTTCCTCAGTTAGCGGGTCCGGCGACCTCCCAGCGGCGGATGAGAGGGAGCTATCACCCTCCCTAGCAATATCTGATGCATTGCTGGTGGAGGCGTTTCAGGTTCTCCACGACTCCGCCTATCGTGTCAGATTACACGAGGATATGTGGGAAGGGGAGGCGGTTCCTTCGAGTGCTTACGAACAGGGGCCGCCCAATGAGGCTGCATACAAGCCTCAACAGGTACTCCGTCAGTTGAAGACACATGGTCCTCCTGTTGATTGGGACTACGCGACTCCTTCTCCTGTTGGGCAGTCTGGGTCATGTCCGGGGGGCTGGATTCCCATACATGTGGAGCATATTCGGATGGGGTTGACTTTTCCGCTCGATCCCATTCTTACACGGATGCTCCTTTTCCTGAACTATACGCTAGGCCGCTTGTCACCCGGTGTTATCTTCCATTTCATCGCCTTCAGGGCCGCATGCGAGAAGATCGGTGAGACGCCCTCTTTTGATGCGTTCTGCCTGTTGTACAAAATGAGAGGCTCTGACAACTTCTGGTCTTGCTACCGTCGGGAGACGCGGGTGGCTTTTGTGAGTGGAGCGCCGAAGCTGGACTCCCCCTGGGTCAAAGGGTATTTCTTCGCTCGTCCTAAGGGTAATTGGTACTCCGGGGAAGTTGAGCCGCCGACGGGGTTCGCATTTGGCGACAAGAAGGACTAGAATACTGATGTTGACGGCCTCGAGTCCTTCAAACCGCTCTTAAAGCGGATTATAAGCGCTTTTCAGATTCACCTCCCTTCGAAGGGCGATGATAATGCCTTGGAGATTATTCTACGCTTTCACGGTTAGTTGTTTTTCCTTTGCGTTGAAAATATGTCTCATGTTCTTTACTTATGTGTTGATTCCACATGTTCTCGCTGTTACACTTCCTCTGCTCGACCGCCGAAGCCAGGAACTAGTGCCCCTGCTTCTCCTCTTCCTGCCAGTGCCGCTCGCGCAGCGGTTCCTGCTGCAAAGCCTACTTCGCCCTCCCAAAAGCAGCTGGTGGCCAGCCGCATAGGAGTGCTGAAGCTTTCTGAGCCTGCCCTCACAAGGAGTTCCTCCAAGCGGCCTTTGGACATAACGACCTCGAAGGACCTGAGGTCGACCGTTGGGGAGCCCCGGTTAAAGGGCATTCTTGTTGAGAAGCCGTCCACTCCTATCGACCCCTATATTGCATCCAAGAAGCAGAAGAGGACCTCCATTGACACCTCCGTTTCCTTCTCCTCCCAAGCTTCCTTGTATCCTGTAGATGCTAAGCGTGCCATGCACGTGATCGCTGAGGGATTGGTTGTCCCCAACGACTACACTCACGTCGCGGGAACTCCCGTCTTGGCATCGGACACCAAGCACTTGGCGGCGGCGACTTCTCGATTCTTCTTCGCGGTATGCGCTCGCACCCTTGTCTTTATCTCCTCTCCGGTTTTTCATTTTGCTAACTCCTGTTTTTTCGCAGACCCAATTCGGTTTGAACCAGATGATGTTGCACAATGACCGCCTGCAGAGCGATCTAGATGACATCAACATCAAAGTCCTTAAGGTGGAGGATCAGCTCAAGGATGGCCGCGAAGGAGCAAAGGCGGAGGTCCTGAAGGAGCAGGAGCTGGTTCTGAAAGACAAGGATGCCCAGATAGAGTCAGGCAAGGAGTCGCTGAGGAAAGCCGAAAAGGATGTTGAGCGTTTGCTGGCTGAACTCTACGACTGAATAGCCCGGGAGACCGCCTTGCAAGCGGAGCAGGCCAAAGTTAGGACTGAGAAGTCCGAGTTGCAGGACGTTCGAGAGGCCGACATGTTGAAAGTCGCTGAGGAGGCGAGGACGACGTTCTGGACTTCAGATGAGTACAGGGTCACTGATGACGCGAAGTATAAGAAACTGCTCTGCGATACTGTGGCTTCCCTTCGCCACTAGTTTCGCCGCGAGTACCCTGATGTCGCGTGGGACACCAACGCAATATGGGACGCGGTCAAATTCTGGGGTGACAATGATGTCAACTCAGAATATGTTGCCACTCCCGAGGCGCCTACCGACACAGCTGCCAGTACGATCATTGCGACCGCTGAAGCCGAAGGGGATGGCCAGCCCTCCGAAGTTGAAGGGGATGAGCAACAGGGTTGATTTGAACCGCTTCATTTTTTACTCTAATCATTTCTGTTCCTTCTTACCTTTTGCAAATTGAATCTGCCATGGCAGTAAATACTCTTGGGCGTCTCTTTTGGATGCTCTTTGTGGAATGTCTACTCCTTTTTATATCTTCATGCTTGGCTACTATCTTCATGCTTGGTTACTATCATTCGTAAGCGGCCGACAGATTTGGGGAGGTCACATATTTACTTTGTAAAATTTTGAAGCGTTATGCTCTGAGGCGGTTTAGCCAGTGGTAGCTAGGGATGGCAATGGGTCGGGTTGGGTCGGGTTTTGCCAAACCCAAACCCAAACCCATGGGTTTATCTTTGAAAAAAACACGGGGTAAAACCCACTGGGTTTGAAAAACTCAAACCCAACCCAACCCGTTGGGTATCCGTGGGTTCATGGGTACCCACGGGTTTTGTCGTAAAAAATTTACAATTACAAGTTCTTATCAAAATTAAAGTCAAATATCAATCTCTCAATACAACTTATCCATATATAAAACACCATTCTAGAAAATTCAAGCAAATCACAAATTAACTATACAAATTGTTCAACACCAATCTAGAAAACTCAAGAAAATTGAAGCAAATCACAAATTATCCATAAATAACATGTTTAATTGAAAGCTTCTTCCTTTCAATTAAGTTTCTTTACTCTCCACTCCATAACATCAACTTCATTCTACACAATAAAAAAGAAAAAATTAGACATGTCTCCACAAA